CATTTCTTACGGTTGTAAGAGATATACGAATCAATTAAATATTGTGATGCGATGGTCAAATTCACAGTACATTTAATTGTGTTTAATGATTAAATATTTACGATTATATTTCAATTATTTGTGATAAGTTGGTCCAATAGTTGTGTGTAAGATAATATTTTATTTATATATATTGTACTTCAACTATCTAAATGCGCTAATAATATACTATGATAAAATAAATTGAAAAACTTAAATAAAGCATACTTAAAAAAAATATAAATAATGTACTATTTAATATATATTGAAATTTGAATTTTGAACATTGAGGTAGGTAAACAACTTCAAATTAACAAATGATGCTCACTAATATTAATATTTATTCTTCATATAAATAAAAGACCTAATTAAATCGACGAAATTTCGGTTTCCTATTGCTGCATTAAAAGTAATAGTTATCATTGGAAGCTTTAAATAATTATGTTTACCTGTAGATCGAGTCTCGGGATCCGTGGATAAATTTAAATATTTTAAAAATAACGTTTGAGAATTTCCCGAACTGTTGTATAATAATGAGAGGAAAAGGTCTCGCTTTTGTTACATTTGACAGACCAATTCAAGCGAAAGCCTTGACATTTCTTTTGTACAACAACTGTTTAGATGTTCCAATAACAATAATAATAAAAAACACTAATAATAATAATAAGGAGAAGAATAATTAAAATCATTTAGACATTTAGAGGACATGTCGTAATTGTTTCTTGCGCAATGTAGTGTACCTATGTACATTAAAACAAACAAATACTTCCTTATTATTCTTAGTTTTATGTCTTAATTTTATTTTTATATACTACGATAGTGGTGATTTTAAAAACACATGCTCAGGATAAAAAACGTATTTTCTTCTCATTTTGTTTTAATCATTGTTAAATGTCATCATAATTTTACTAATATAAAATAAATAAACGTTGATTATAAAATCTGTAAATACTATCAAATAATAAATAATATAATACTCATTTTATAACTTCTCGTTCATATTTACTTCTATGTGATAGTCTATAGCTATTGAAACATTGAAGTCAATGATAGTATTTACTGATAAACTTAATTTAGTCGCTCACCCATATTAAGATAATGCCGTATTTATGTGTATCCCATGCCATTTGTATATATTACATATATTTGAGAATCGTTAGATGATTATAATAATTTAGGTTATTTGAATTTTGTCGAAGATCGATTTTTACCAAAGACCCGAATGCATTTGTCCAAATTGGTTTGAACAGGTGTTTGTAAATATCTGAGTGTTAGTTCAGATGTTAAGTGGGTAATTCCCCTAAGCCAGTATAATTGGTAATTTAATTTAACTCATCTTCAGATGTTCGTCTATATTACTAATAACTATATTATGTTAGTTTTTTGTCAATATATAGAAATATATATATTTTTTTTTTTGAGGTAGGAATTCATGTTTGAGATTGAACTTGATTTAGAATGATTTATTTTCATTAGATTTTGCTTTCCACTTTCAGTAATACGATTCTAGATCGGTCATTGTATTTTAAGATGAAAGGAATTATTCAGTGAATTTCATGGATGGAGAGAATGGTTTTGTCGTTGGCATATTCAGAGACTGTTGTGTTGGGAGATATAGACTGATTCGATAACAATACATATACATAATTGATATTAAAAATGAGCTGAGAAACTTAGTATGGCATTACATAATATGTAAATAAGAAGTATTAAAGTTTTTCTCGTTGTGAGCTAGGTATTAGATTATTTTATTGATGACAGGGAATTTTTTTTAGGGGGGGGGGGTGGTGTATATATGCAATTTTCAAATTCAGCTGGGAAAAATGCTTTTATAGATTATGTAGTTTTGAAATTAAGACATAAGGAAGTCTACTTCGTCTGATAATGCTACTAAATCATCTATGTCATTATGTAGTTTGAAAACGATGATGAATTATTTTGAAAAAGTCTCAAATTGTATCTGAAAGAACGATTATGGAATAAAGTAGTTAATGGTTAACCGAGGAAGATGATATTTTATGCAGCAATTAATTAAATTTAAATCTAGTTTACAATCATAAAAAAAAAAATGTCTTTGAAAGCATTAAAGTGCATATTGAATTATTTTGTAAATACATTATTTATTTTAGTGAATATGTAATTCACTTGTATATGAAAAATAAATACAACAAACTCGTCTGCTTTAATTATTAATAGATTCAAATGTATACTCCGGACTATTGGATGAACATAATAAAATATACGATTGAAAAATAACTATTGAATGTTAAACATAAAAAATAAGTTAGATCCTCACTAGCTTAAGTCGATTTGACTAATAATTAAATTTATAAAAAAAATCATAAAAATAAAAATACGGAATAAAACTTTTAGTTCTATGATGTAAATCTTGATTATAAAAATAATCTGGACACTCAAATTCATAAATTATTATCCAAATTCGAATCTGAACAGAACATAATAGTAGGCAATGGTACCTATATTGTGGTGTGTATCATTATTTTTAAAATTGATTTTTTCTGATAAAATTAAAATGTATGCATACGTTTGAAGCATACCTATAAACAAATTATAGAACAATGTACAAATAATGAACACCGTATTTTAAAAATAATCAAAAAATAAGTATAGATAATATTATATTTTATTTACAATATTAAACATATTTACGATATTATTATCTTATTCAATTTTAAACCATTGATGTAAAATAAATAAATACTAAAACCTAAATGTTTACAATAAATTACATTATACCTACTTTAGTGTTATAATAACCCATCAAATATACAATTTCAAACTAATAGAAAAAACAAAAACGGAAATAACTACTACCCGTTAGACCTAGGTTATGCTAATAGCTATGTTAAACGGGAAGAAATGAACATTAGAAAACGTATATGTTAGCATAAAACAATAATAAAACAAATTTAATATGAGACGGTAGTGTTACACTAGACAGGTGTGGACTATGAGATACTATTATGATATTTTTTAGTATTTAATTCACTATTTTTCTTTAAATATTTGGTCGCTTACTATCAGAACAGATAAATAAAAAAATAAACAAAGAAAATAAATGTATATTTTAAAGCGAGTATTTTATAGATTATAAACATTTTTTTATGAAGATTGCATCTTTGCAAAAATACCGGATAAATGAAAAAAAATTCGTTTTAGAATATTCATAGTTTAATTTTAGTTATAAACAAACAAAAAATGTACACTCAAGAAATGGACTAACCTTTGAACAAAAAATTTATTTGCATATAAACAGAAATAATTACGTTTAATCAAAATATTAATTAATGAATAAAAAAAAATCAAGTAGGTATCTAGTTTTCTTTTTTGTTGTTATATTCAATAAAAGAAAACTGTTCCTTCTGAGTTCACAGCGTGGTTAATTTTTAATTGAGTTTCGTTTATATATTTCGTCATTACAATCGGACGAAATTCTTTAAAATAAATGAAGATAAATGAAGAAATGCTTTTGCTCGTCAATTAAAAATCTTCATTTAATCGAGTAGTGTGATAAAATAGGAGGAAAATGTATATTCTCGGAAAATAATTATGCACTAAATCATTAATATAAATATTAACATTTTATAAGAAATGACAATGCCTGTGAAAAATGTCTACGCTCTCTAGAAATACGAAATTACTAGATAGTATGACCCACAGTTGAATACAAACTACATATTAATGACTACTACAAATACTTGAAGTTAAAAATCGAATTCCTTTGATAAAATTACTAATTTAAATGCAATTTCGGTATCATATTTTAATCTCATTGGTATAATAATATAATAGTATCATATTGTTGTGAATTCCCATAAATTGCTTTTATAGTAGCTGCAATAGCTTTGAAACATATACTTGGGGGAGGGGGGAAAGGTCAACATAGTAGACATTTTAGTACGAGATTTAATATTGTAGTTTTCGTAGACGTCATAGAAAACTTAGTGAACAATAACAACAAACTGTTAAATTGAGAATTTAAGCTGACATTATAATTTTGATACACGAATAAAGTAATCTGCGGTGTAAACAATACTAATTTTATTGTTAAAAGATTAAAAGTTTCAGAGACGTTATTTTTAGCGATAAGAAAGGATGTCAATCTTTCAAGGATATTAATATTTCCAGAGGATACGTCTAAGGGTGGTGACTTCAAATGTATAAGTCGGTGCCATAAAACCCCACGAATGAACACACTACGATAACAAAATTGGAAAACTAATCAGTATAGTAGCTACACGATGTATTCTAATGCATTCTAATGCAAAGTCGCAAAGCTGGCTTAAATGATAAAATCGAAATGAAAAATATACTTTCAAAGTAATGGAATTCTAAATTGTATCCATAATCTTTGATCGTTAGACAATATTATCATATCTTTATGAATGATCGTAGTTCTCATATTTAGTAACAATATTAACATCATTACATATTAAAACAAAAAATGTATCAAAAGCGAACAAAAGTATAAATAGTATGTAGGTAGAAAAGTACCATAAATACATATTGACGAATACTTAAACAAAATAAGTTGAGTAATGGTGACGTGTTATGGGTTGTGAGAAATTATAAGGTAAAAATGTAATACGTTGTAAATGGTGATATTAAAGAAAGATGAGGTAAGTAGTTCAAAATATGAGGTCAAATCCTATAAAAATAGTTATTTTAAAATTTAAGTCAATAATTTAAAGTTCTGATTTGGTAGGTAGGTACAATCATTTTTGATATTTGTTTTTGATTATATGCATATTACAAGTTTATTTAACTTGATAATATTAATTACCTATAATCTTATTTGGAGTTTGCATCTTATTGTAAATCATAATATGTACTCAGAGCACAAGGGGTGAGTCTTTAAAATCGAACCCTTCTTTTCCACGACAATAAACGTCATTTACAGATGGACAACACTATCATTATACCTATATAAGTACTTCACCTACACAAAGCGGAACACTCACCACAAGAAGAAGGGCAGCCAGCAGACGATAAACGTGCCCATGATGATGCCCAGCGTCCTGGCCGCCTTGTGCTCCCGCTTCATCTTGATGATGTTCCTGTTGTCCCGGGAAGGGGTCGAGTGGTGATCGTTGGGTGCCAGTGTGGTCCTGGACGACGACCCGTTGGCAGCACCGTTCGATCGCAGCTGGTTCTCCGCAAGCTCCCGGTTGTAGTTTATCTGCTGGCCGCAACTGATCCTCGCGTGTATCTGCTTCTCCTGCCGGTTTGCCTCTTTGAATATCGCGTGGTACGTGAACAGCATGATCGTGCAGGGTATCCAAAATGATATCGAAGACGACACGATCACGTAGACTTTGTTCACCTGAAAAACGAAACACGAACGAATGGTTTTAAAACGAACACACCCAAAACTTCGGTGCCAATCGATTATCATGATATTATGATACAGGTAGCCGAAATCCAAGTTATGGAGCAAATGGATTAAACGATGACTGTGCTTGCTGTTGTGCACGTCTTCGATAAAAGAAAATGTGTTCAGTAACGTCGTCTGGAGTAGTGCGTAAAAGTTAATACCTGCAGCGAGTCGTTAGCGTTTAAAATATTCTAGACGACCTGCAGGGACAGGACCAGACTCGACAATTTTCCAAATGTCTGTGACGATATTGTTTTTTTTTTCTGTCAACGTTCTAAAGAAAAACAAAAATTGCACTATACTCGCAAAATATCATCATCATTGATCAATGAACGACTGGAATGGACTGTTCGATAATAACGAGTTCTGCAGTGTACGAAAATATCAGTAAATAACAAGTACTGAAAGTACTACTGGAATAATTCAAGTAATATTTACGAGTATTTTGTGAACCCGAAAAAGTCGTTATTCTTATATACCCTTTAGCACAGTTCAATTATTTTACATTTTGTGTAAGACATAAATAATACTATATTTCTTAGAAACGGTACAGCAATCGCAGATGAAATAAGAACATTTCGTAACATTATTGTGTGACACGAGTACAATAAGTCTGGATGTAACAAAAGAACCAATCGCTGATTCAATGTGGGTAAACGTGATGCGATCGATCAGACCCACGAATAGTTAACAGCGATTTTTTTTTTTTTTTGAACATTTTAATTCATAAACAAACTTACTGGACTGATTTATGTACTGCGGCGATTGCTTGTAGTAAAAACTGTACTTGCAAAAATTTAAAAAATACTTATTCAACGATGAAAAAAATTCTATATACTGAATAAAATAATGAAGAATGTATTTATTTTACAATATCTTTATTTCATTTTACATGTTTCGGACAGAAGTATTCAAAAAAGTTCCTGTTATTTATATTTACCGAATGGAAACTCTAGTGTGGGTGGTCCCTTGGATAAAGACGTATTTATTAATATTCTCAGTTATTGTCCATACAGTAAATTGATTATTTTGCATAAACTATGAAGTAATAATTATAGTGGTAAGTTAGTAAAAGTCCATTGTTTAACATAAAATATTAATTAATAAGCACATGATTAACTAAATTAACTATTTATTAATATTACTTATTAGTTATTAGCAACAAATAGATAAATTATTATAATATTTTCAATGCATAGTATTATGTATAATATGACTACATTGTGTTCTTGTATTGAATTAAATATTATGAAAATGTAGAATATATATATATAGTGATTTACCCAACTTACTCACTCATTTTATTTTTTAATAATGCAGTTGTTCAAAGTCTAATTTATTAATTTTTAAAAAATACTTAAAAAAAATACATTTTCAAAATCTTGATATTATTATTTGTATTATTAAATGATAAGTCACCTGTTGAGATTTATACTTGTTTTTCAGATGAGTTTCATTCTATTCTACATTTTTTAATGGATAATTTTTAACAATAGTTTGATGTATCAAAATTCAAACGAGTAGATTTTTAGTTTTTAAATTTGTGTACCAAGGATATTAGGTTTATCAGATTTGAAAGGTGTTGTTATTTGAAAATTGTAGTAATTAATATTAATCTATCAACGTTTGTTAATTATTGTAAAAATAATGAGTAAAAAAAAATTTAATCTAATATTACATAATATTTAAATGTTTTACATTCCTGTAAAATCTTTTTTGAATACTATTAATATACTTTTAAAAGCAGAGAAACTAATTATTTGAATTATTAACTAGTTAATATTTACTTAATAGTACTATGTAAGGAGGAGGTTCTAATTTGAAAAACATTGTTTTGTATCGTTACAGTCACGACTTAAAAAGGTGGTTCAAAAAAATATCGATTATTTGAAAATATGGTCTTGAAGTATATTTAAAAATTCCAAAAATTATAATTTAAATACATTTATTATTTTAAAAAAAAATGGTGGTGAGCATACTTGGTGAATAACCCTGAATATATATTATATATTATATCATACTATTATAGAAACTTAAAAATAATCAGAAATGCATATTGTGATGAGATGTGAAATATAAATCAATCATACCTCAAGTTTTATCAAAATTTAATATTATTCAAACTCTCTTGACAAACTTTGTCATCAGCGTCGACATCCCAATTAAATCACTTTATTTAAAACAAATTAATTGTTATGAATTCTGAGACACTTAAAATAAAATAAATACATTTTTCTTCTGAAATATAAAAAAAAATCGAAGCAAATATAGTGTTTATACGTTAAAAGAAAAATTATTTTTTTATCCGACCCATCGCTAAAATATGTCAGTTTATAATTTATATTATAATATAATCTACAAATAATTTATTAATTTATTTTAACGGTAAATACTATACTCAATAAAATGTGAACGTCTACGAGTAACTATTGAAACATAGTTGTAAGATTTTTAATTTTTCAGTTTCACTTAAACAATTAATATATTTTTTTCATTTTTACGTAAAACCACGTGATTAAAATACACAATAGAACAAAACAAACTGAAATTGCATGGAATTCAAAACGTCACAAAGCTATTTCACGAGACATTGTTTCCTATGCATTTATTTTAGCACAGTTCTATAGTGACACGAGTCTTTTGTCTGTTTTGTTTTCAGTTTTACTAATAACACTGTCTACGCGTAGATATCAGTTTTGAACATTGCGGTGTGTTTATTTTGTTCTCCGCTATATACGGAACTTTGAATTTATCAAATATGTTATTATACAAGCACTATCCCCGCGTTATTCATTGGCATCGAAGGGGTTGACACGTGTGCCATTAATTTATTTAAGCTCCCTCTAATTTCGAAGAGTTTCAAAGAATGTCATGCATTGTTTGTGTATTGATTATCGAATCAGATTGTTTTAATCTCAAAACTGTGTTACAAGTATTAAGAAGTATTTACAGTAATTAATTTTAATAAGCAATAACGCATGAAGTACATATTTGTGCTTATAATATTAATGTAGTTTGTTTTTTATTTGTTACAATCTTTGAAAATATTAAAGCGACAGAAATATGGATATTTAAGGATTATTTTAGTAATTAATTGTTCGTACGGTATAACTTATTACAAGAGTTAATAAGTTGCTGAAGGCACTACCTACGTGTAAAAAAAAAAAAAAAAACGTATGTATTTATTTTTTGGTAAATTGCATAAAAATGATTGTTATTTAAATAGATGGTATTAATATGGAACTATCTGGAAATTTTACGTTTAGTGTGAATTTAATGCGAGTTTGCAAAGGCAATGTAGAACAATAAATGTCTGTCTGAGATATTGAGAGCAAAATTATGTATTTTAAGTTATAACGGACTGACGACTTTGAATAGGATTCTGCGGTGACGAAGACAAAACATCTTATATTGATTGTTCAATAGATTGTCTTCTTAAAATATACACACCGACAAACAACTCATATATTATAAGTTAGTCAGTGGCTAAATTCACAAGAAACCAAAATCCATTAGACTTTTGGTGCATTATATATTTATTGTTACTTTATACTAATAGTAAACTATAAAAAATGAATTTCTTTCTCATTTTTAGGTAGAACCAAAAAAATAATGAAAAGTTACAAATTTTATTTTTACGTTATATCTAAGTATTTTTATAATATTATCAGTATAGGTACCTAGTTGGACTTTGTGCCGTTTTTTATTAAAATGTTTAAGTCTTGGGAATTGGTAGAAGTCTTGCAAAACTAATGACAGTCACACACGTATGGTAAAATTGTTTCCACCCAAAAAATATCGTTTTAGATGTGAAATTGATGACGATAGAGTATATAATACCTACAGTGTTACCTACGAAATTGTTATTGTATTACTAAACACTTTACCGTGGCTGACGAAACATATCGATCAAAATTAATAAATTTGGTTTTTCAGAAAATTCAACCATATGTAGAATATGTATAATAATTTATTTTTTTAATTCCACGAGTTGTATAAGTGAAAAAAAAATATTTATTTGTCGATAACACAAATTCAATAAAACGTTTATTTATAAATAATATTTTTAAAATTGACTTAAATAAATAATTAATAGCTTGGATTTTTAAAAGCACTGTTGTTCAAATGATTGCCATTAATACATTAAATTAATCACCTACCGTCAGGTATTTGGTATGTGAAATAATTTCCCATTATTATTTTAGATAATAACCAATTTATAAATTAATAATTATGTTTTATCATATTAATTATACTATAACAGCAATAAAGTTAAAGTGTGTGAATGTGAAGTGTTAAATCGTCAGTTAAAGTCATGAAATGTATTTATCATACAAACGACCCCGCCACAAAAAAATTGCAAGGGACACAATGAGTAGTTTAGTAGTATATAGCGTACTAATAATATATAACAATATAATGTAAAATGTCATATGCAGTGGAAAACACTTATAATAGAAACAATTTGGCTATAATTATTTTCAACTGCTGTAGGTCTCAGAAAATAAATAATTATCTTATAAATATTTTTCTACAGTTAGGCATGGTTGAAACTGACATGGAGGACAAAATATTAAATTATGGTTATAATATTAATCAATAATCACGTTTAAAACATTTTCTATAAGCCATATGATGCATAATACCAGTGAGGTTAGGAAAATGTACTAATAGACACACTTTGTATACACTTTAGTTAGTAACTAATTGTCAGTTACATAGCTCAGACAGGACCAAAACATTTTATTGTATCTTGATATTATATTCTAACACCACTGTTCAACTGCAGAAACGGTTTAAAACCAGTCGTTCAAACTCCTAAATCACACTACACCAAAAGTGTTTTTACATTTTATCAAATAGTAATTTTTTTTTTTATTTAATTGATTCTTGTAGTATCTATCGTTAGCTCAACTGAAAAAAACAATATACGTATATTGGGCTCTATTCAATTGGTCGTATGGAATTGGGGTTCAAATAAAATAAAATAAAAACAAAATTAATACAATTTACACTTCTATATGAATGTTTTAAAATGAGCGAAAATGAAACATACAAACTATTATGATAAAATACATTTTGTTTGTAAGAAAATAATAAATATATATTTATAATTATAGATAGTTATAATTATAATTATTGTACATGTTTTAAAATTATTATAAATAATGTAAAAAAAAGAGAAAAATGATATAACTTGGTAAATTTGTATTCATTTTTCATGAAAATTTGCTGTCCCGAACAAATATTCAAATGTTTTATAATTATTTCACAATATTAGATATCGCGTTGTTTATTGCACATTTGTATATACTGTTCTCAAACTAGTTATCGCGTCGAAAAAGGCTGCAACTTATATCGAAATAAATTGTATTCGACAAATTTTAGCTAATACCAACTAATCAAACAACCAGTTGACGATTCGACCAAAAAAATACGATTTTAATTATTAATTTGTACGACATGAACATTTCATACGACCACTCGACTAATGCACGCCGTACATTGTGTAATACACAAAGTATGGGACAAGTTAATGAAAATAATCAACTTAAGTTAAGTTGAGATTAGTAAACACAAGATTGTCAAGTTGGAAGTTACCAGTCAACAAATAATACATTTAACACACTAAGTTTAAAGTTTGTATGGAAATAAAATATTTGCTAAACTCAGTTTGGAGAAATTAACCTACTTTTTAAATTAGTTTGTAGATCACATAACGAGTGGCTCGTAGTTAGTTATTTATCCAAAATTATTTTATCGAGAAACATCACAACAGGCACACTATTACTATTATTATAGTATTAGACTATATTTTTATCTAAAACCGTGTATGCATATTAGACATTGTGCAGTGAATGTATAAAATATAAACGAAAACTTTCAAAAGCATCATGGTTTTATTAATTTGATGGATTCATTTTGAATCAGCCGACTAAGTCGACAACGCATCGCGTCTCCGGCGAATGATGAAATCGACCGGTCGACGCCCTCGCCCTCCCCACGTTGGATTACGAACGAAAAGCGAACAGACAACAATACTCACAACCCAATCGCAGTCGTCCGGGTGCGCCATCCGGTAGGCCAGATACTCGTCGGTGGTGTACCAGCCGTAGAAGATGGGCACGAACGCGATGATGCCCGGCGCCACCCACGTGACGAGCAGCAGGAACGCCACCAGACGCTTGGTGACCAGCACCGGGTACTTGAGCGGCTTGACGATGGCGTAGTACCTGTCCACGCTGATGCAGCACAGGTGCAGAATGGACGCGGTGGAGAAGTACACGTCGCTCGAGTTCCACACGTCGCACATGAAGTACCCGAAGATCCACTTGCCGCTGATCAGCTTGCTGGCGTTGAACGTCATCGCCACGATGGCCACCAACATGTCGGCGAACGCCAGCGACACGACGAAGTAGTTGGTGATCACCCGCAGCCGGGGGTGCCGGGCGACGGACACGATCACCAGCAGGTTGCCGCCGATCGACGTCAGTATGATGATGGCCATGATCGACGTTTTCAGGGCCACCGACACGTAATCGGACCAGTCCATCATGTCGCCGGTCACCTGCGCACGGTCAATTGGTCATCGTTATGAAAATAATAATTATTAAATAAACATTATGGTGGGTACACTGACGCCAGAGTGGATGTGGTCAAGTGACCGGGGGAGGGGGGGGGGTTGTAAATGATAAGTCTTTTCAATCGTCACACGTAAAAAAGGTAACACGTTCTCAGTCGTTCGATAAACCAAAAAATAACCTAATCGAGCCTATAACAACATTTGTAATTATTTTTTTCTAAAATTTTTACCGACTCAGAACTTTTAAAGTACATTACAATATGTTCAAATGTTATGATTTGAGTATTAAATGCTAAAAATGAATATACATTTAATTAAATATATACACGTCACGTTGTTTTTTATTGCAATTTAATATGACTTATTCATTATATCCATTAATGTTAAAATCCGGTCCCGAGCTCGAACGACGACCAATATCCCACTGATTTCTTTTTTTATGAAAATAACTATCTCATTCTACGCTGAACTTATTTTATATTGTTAGTATAATAGATGCTACAGATAAGAATGTAACAACAGGGAAATGCAATATCAAATAGCTGTTTTATCGGACTCATTTAGTCGTATTATCGGACAACATTCATCCATTTATATAATTACTAGTTGCTTGTGAAACTCGCTGTCCTGAAACTCGGGAGCTTGTGAGAGTCGGCGATGCAGACCGCAGACGTCAATGTCGTTGAAATTACTTTTAGAAGTCACTCCTGTTGACGTCATGGGTAGTTAAAAAACAAAAATTTAGGAGGTGATAACGATTTTTGATAAGTCTTAGAGATCTCGTTTCGAGCGCGGGAATGTTTGAAATTTCACTTCACCCACGAAAATCGGCAATTGAATAACACGGTTCCCCGTCGCATGTCCTTTGCTTTTTCGTATGTAATAAAAATGTAAATTTGAAAGCTGAGTTGGAATGTCTAGCAAGTCCGTCACCTCAAGTGAAAATCGTTTAACATTCAAGTTAGCCAGCTACGTAGGCAATCCGACTTCGTCGGATCGCAGACCCTCCGTTCAGAGTCTATCCAGAGCTTTTTCGTATGTAAAGAAATGAAAATTCAAAATCCGCGCTTGAGTGTATATGAAGTGGTCACCTCAATTGAAAATCGTTTACCAATCAAGCTTATGAAACTCGGGGGCTTGTGAGAATCGGCGATGCAGACGTCAATGTCGTTGAAATTACTTTTAGAAGTCACTCCTGTTGACGTCATGGGTAGTTAAAAAACAAAAATTTAGGAGGTGATAACGATTTTTGATAAGTCTTAGAGATCTCGTTTCGAGCGCGGGAATGTTTGAAATTTCACTTTACCCACGAAAATCGGCAATTGAATAACACGGTTCCCCGTCGCATGTCCTTTGCTTTTTCGTATGTAATAAAAATGTAAATTCGAAAACTGAGTTGGAATGTCTAGCAAGTCCGTCACCTCAAGTGAAAATCGTTTAACATTCAAGTTAGCCAGCTACGTAGGCAATCCGACTTCGTCGGATCGCAGACCCTCCGTTCAGCGTCTATGAGTGAAACTCAACTAATTGGTTGTATTTACCTACATTATACACACATAATGTATAGAAAATGAAGATCGCAAGTAGGTAATGATATTCGGCATGATAAACCAAAGATATTCTAATCATACGGATAGACGGTAGTAGGTATAAGTATTTTTGAAATTATTTCATAATGTAAGCACCACGAAGATTATGTTTACAATAATAATGGAGATAACAATGAAATAATCATTGGAACTTGGAAAAATCATGTAAAAAAAACCGGAAAAAAAATGCAAAAAATCCGGGCGGCCATGCTACAGCATAGGGCTGCCGTAGTAACGACGGCGTCGATATATCCGCCGCCGGGGTTCGAACTCGCCTACCCTACGACTTTAACCTAACGCCTAAACCTACGGGACACCTACTCAGATGCTGACAGACGGAAAAATTTGAGCATTTAAGCCGTTTGTATTCATAAGCGAATACTGCAATAAGCAATGTTTAACCGATGAAATCCGTAGGATATGGCCATTATTTTTATTGCATATAGTTAACAAAATAGATGTAAATACATAGCAATTTCTGTTGTTGTAAAAAAACTAAAATATTTGTATTGCTATTATTATGCGTAATAGTACACATGTATACGGTTCTGCATCAAATAAATAGTTAATTTATTTAATATATAAGCAATATACAATTGAACGTACTCATTCAACTCAGAGTGTATTAATTGTGAAATCCGATATTATATCACAGCATCGAGCACTAAAATATTGTCTTTTATTTATTACATATTACATATTTTGGGTTTTCGAGTAGATTTCTTGAAATCCAACCACAGGATTGTGTGTTGATCTCATCGAAATCGCCCAATAATTTTTAATTTAATATATCGCAACCGGACGTTCCACAGTCACAGAATTATACGATCGATATGGACCTGACCGTCGAAGAACAGTCCTGTTTCATTCGATATATTTAACCGAGAGAAGGACAAAACAGTAAGTGTAAGGCTCCGTTCGACGACTTTGGTTCTGTCTGTAAAAGCGATTTCGAAGTGTGAGAATGGGGCACGAAGAAAGGCGAACGGAGCTCGAAAAGCAAAAGTTTTGAAACAATCCCGGCGATGAGGCGAAGACGATAATATCTCAAAATGACGAAGCCGCGATATTTTTTCGCGCTCCCATTGGCCCGGAAGCGAACGCTCGTAGAAGAAAAGAAATAGTGGTCTTTCGTTCCGGGAGGAAAAGACTCCGGGACCTTACCATTTTATATATTAAGATAAATCTGGGACTGAACTGTATGTGACTCTCCGTGGAAGTATGGCGTGATGAAGGACGGAAGTACTCAGCAAGTGCAACAAAAATACCGAAAATATTGGTGGTATCAATACGTTTAATCAAAATTGTTTCGTGTTTACAAGTCTATACGTTTTTAATTAACCCCCAAACCCAAACGTTTAAAGCCGATTAGCCACTGTAATGGATTAACATTTAAAAAAAAAATTCGATCAAAAAATTTAAAATTAAAACATTACACATAACTATTATACGGTTCATATTTTTATGATAGTATTATAATGCACACGACAACAATATTATACTGTAGAATGCGAAATACAATAAAATAAAACATAATATCGTTTACGAATATATGCCATAATAACGTACATAAAAATACATTTTTGGAACCGATTTTTTAATATTATATCTCCTATCTACTTGTGATTTACGAGATGATAAATCTAAAAAAATCTCATAATCGTTTCATAGAAATTCAGTGCCGAAAGACTTACCGAGGGATCATAGGGTGTGGGTGGCTCAAATGCTTATGGTATAACGTGAACGGCACTAGCTCGAGCTCATGTTATTCAATTTGTCAAGCTTTATGAAAATATACTATACTGAATTAATATAAGATGATGTATTATTACATGTGTAATTTTTGTAAGTCCTAAGAAAAGCAATTTCATACAAATGATATAACGTATGTAATATGCATACTATTGTCTTTTGAATAATAATACAATGATATGATTATTATCATTATCACGAGTAGTCTAGTATCCCCGAATTTTTCGCAAAGTCCCTGACAATTCAAAAGTTAGCACTTAGTATTAAGCATGTATAGTTTTTATAAAAATAAAAGGAGGGATGGCTTGGTCTATTTCCATTTAGCAACTATGAAATATTATGTTTAACTTTATGTTAAGTGCGATTAAATAAATCGAGTTAAATATATTTAAAATATTTGTGTTTAACAATAGTGATCACGATTTAATATTGTTTTCACTTGCATACATTCAAGCCGGGGCATTGCAATCAAAACAACTCCCAATCATTCAAATTCCCTAGACGTTCAATATTCAAACTTCAAACAAGACACTGCATACACCACATATACGGAGTAATTCATTCAACTCAAGATACTCATTATTTCGGAAAACACTAACGGTTTTGGAGATATTTCTTTTACATAATCTATTAAATCGTTATACAAAATAACATTTTTGAAGACAAATTATTGTTTTTATTTCTCTTTTATCGTTGCAATTTTTTTTTTTTTGAAGTTTTTTAATTAACTTTTGAATCACTGCATACATTTTTATTTTCATATTTCAAAGTAGAATATTATTTGGAATATTTCGATTTAAAAAATATGTTTTCGGGTCAAGTAGTTAATATATTTAGTTACCCATAATACGTATTAATGTAATGTTTTTATGAGCAAAGTAATGGATCAACTTATTGCGGGCACCCCTGTTGTAATACTCCACTCCGCTCAACTTAATTTTAAATACTTTAATCACTTCATCGGTAATGTAATGAATTACATTATATAAACAGGTTATTGTTATATAATGTTATAAATAAGTTCAATTTTATTCAATACAAATATGTAAGTGTTTTGTCAAATTGAACACCGAAATCCTTTCAAGTTCCCCCTTTTGGTATTTATCTATCACTGATACACCACATTCGAGATAATATATTCAACGTTATATAGTCGCGACCCGGTAATATGAAATTTAAACACAACCACGGTTAACCGTATATACTTTTCCCACGCATAAAACACAAGATTTCAATAATAATATTGTAAAAATACCTTTTAACAATGATAGAGATTCCTCGAAGCCGCTCTCATATGTATACTTTGATATAAACTGTCCTCCCCCTCAGGTAAAATAGGTTTGGTTTAGTCAGAAATATTATTATATTACGTTATTCTTCACACAAATACCTATTTTTATTTTTTAGATTACGCATGGTGGAGATAAAAATATCAGAAACGTTTAAATATGTTCCGTTTGTAATACCATGTGTATATCCGTATAAATAAAAATATATTACAATTCTAAACACTACACAGAAAACATGTTAAGTATACCAATGTACAAAAAATATTTAATTGATAATTGAATAAATTAAATTATTAAATTCGTTGTACGTAATAATACAAGACGACATCGGACAATTTTCACGAGTGGCAATTGCGAAAAGTTAAAAACGTTTGGAAGCTAATTAATAATATATTTTAATGCAAATACAGGTAGTTATGACATTTTACTATTGGTTTTTGGCATTCAAACGCTGTCTTTGATGAAGGTTAAAGAGAGAGTATACAATTTATCAAAATGTATTCGTTGCACTGTAAATTAAAATACAATTTCAAAAGCTTAAATATATATTTTATAATAATTACAAATAGCCAATTGGTAACAGAAGGATATTATACGTACACATCATTATTTTAGGCAGTTTGGATAACAGTAAATTAAAATATATATTATATTTTATTTCCTTCTATTTGGACAAAATCGGAACGTTTTTTTATTTTTAGTTTTCAAGTCGATCTAAATAAGGGAAGTTAAGTTATGTACACATTGAAAATTCGTGTACACGCAAATAATATTATTCTCTCTCTCAAAGCGATATTACGTTTTTGGATAAACTCAAAATGTCATTATATTCAGATGGAACGTTCAAAACGTACTCAGCAGCTATATACTGCAGGGTTTTCTCTGTGTAGGTTAATCGAAAATCTTTCGTACTAATCGCAAACGCCACTCGAGCCAATTAAGTTTTCGAGCGTGATCCATTTGAAAAGTCACAATAAAATACAATATAAATATAGGTAGTGTATAATAATATTTTATCAATTAAGTTTAATGTGTTATAACGGTTTATTATACATTAAATCATAATATAATAGTATACGACTTATACCTAACATGGTAGGGGGGGGGGTCGTCAATAATTCTATACCGAACTGTTAAAAACCATATATACCAGCAACGCGTGACACGTTATCTAACCCTGCTGTAGTTACCTTCGAGACATTACCCGGTATCGTGTCGAACAGGGAATCGGAGAGCCAATGGCTGACGTTTATATAACACACACGCGTGCCTTATCGCTTAACTTCCGGACAAGTGAGCTCACACGTCGCATAGAAGAGATAATCACGATCGCTGTAACATTATAATATGCGGCGCAGTAATGGGTTTCATTTATTCATTTTTTTAGGCGCAACGCGAACTCCGTAGGTTTCGATTTTTTTCGCCTAACAATGTCAGCGAATTTTCCCTCGATAATTCGTAGCGGTCGCTTAAGATAGATGAATCAACCGCGGATACGATAATTATTATATCGTAACAGTCTACCTATATGTATACACGAGAGGGTTTTATGTTTAAATCGCTGCGTGGCCGACGGCGCTAAGTTATTATGTAATACCCGTGGGAGGTTTATTACGGTCGGGCTGGGCAACCACCACCGTGGAAAGGATAAAATGACCGGAAAATATGGTTATTACGCGGACGACGACGACGACGACGCGATATTAAATTATAAGCCCTTGAAACCACCCGGCGTTGCCGTTACAGCATTTTCACCCGATCCAAGTATTCTTTTTTACTTCGGAAAAAGGTTAAGTAGTTGCAGTGAATGGCGTCCAGAAATATGTTTAGCGGTTCAACCTCCTAATGGTATGTTATTATCGTAAAATTGAGTAAAGTCAACATATGTATTTTCAGTACCTCGTGTCTTGCAATATATAAAATAACCTAATGTTTAACAATAATATCGACATCTGCCAAAGAGTCACTACAAAGGACCACCATTCATGTAACCACCAACTAATATTTACCTACAACATCAGATATGCTTTACAGTTCACACATTAGGTGATTATATTATAATACATGTGAGTGCCACTAACTGTATAACTATATTTGGTACATAGATGATGACATATATATTTTACTGTGTAAATTTATCCAACTTTTATCATTCCAAAAATATTTATATACTGTTATGTGCATTTGAGACAAGAAAAACGTAGTAGTGGCCCATGTAATCATGAAGAAAAGTTGTTATTTCTGTTATCGAACTAAACTCAATGTAGACATGACTTAATTTGGGGATATTTATTTAATATTATTATTATGATTGAATTACTAAGAAATTATTATATAGTTACATTATGTTCATCAATACACTTATAGTTTCACTCAGCTTCATACATAAATATATATTTAATACGCATATCCACAATACATATTCACACACACACACACACACACACCATTTGTTCACTTTTACAACTCTACTGCTATAATAATACACACCATATACATTATATAAAATTATTACCCTGATAAATATAATTACGGCTTTTCAACCAACGGACAATATAAAATGAAACTATCAGACTCATCCCAATCAAATAACGAAAGTCATGTCAGACGCGACGTCTAAAATGTTCCTCACATACCTCCCCATATTCTACACATATAATCATTAAAATTAAGAAAAATATTATTTATATTCCAGCTATACTATCAATGTTTTGAATTTTCACCATCATATTTATCTTACTTTATTTTTATCTTACTTTATTTTTATTCCATTTTGACATAATAATATACTGCACAAACTAAAATATTTGGACATCTATGTCGTATAAAATAGGGATATAAATTCAAAAGCTATTTTGCTATCAACCCTCCTCAATCCTCAAATATCAGGTACCAAGACCTACAAATATATACTATAATTAAGATTGTTTGGTGTTGAATATTATGAATTTGAAATGCACCCACAATAATTTTATATCATCTGATGTAAATACCTGTTGGACCGTAGGGTCGGTGCCGTTGTCCATGACACTTAACCGGTAGAGTGAGTCCCGGGGATCGAGTGACGGGACGACGGACGTGGGGGTGTGGTTGAACATGTTGTCACCATGTTCCATGACCGCTGTTGCGGTATAGAAGGCGCCTGTGAAGTAACCGGAGTATTGTACTCGGTCACCGGTTGTTTAACCATACCGACGAACAGTCGCAGATATCACGTACGGTACAGGACGTCACCGTGGCCGTCCGCTGGCATACCGGACGCCACCGTTAAGTTACACAGCGGTATATGATTATACTGTACCGTGGTTATAAGCGTTGAAGTTATACACCAGCCGTGAGGTTTTTGTTATAATTTATTCGGTAAGGTGTTACCACTGATTTCAGCGTCACAAATTAATCAGACTAGGTACAATGCCAAATTCTGAAACAAAAGAAAACAATACATTTAAAATATATTTTACTGTACTTATTCATATGTTTATGGGGACTGCAGTATTTTGAAAGACCTGTTAATAATATTAATAGTTAAACGATTCATCATTGACTAAAAATCTTTACCTATACTACTTTTTCCGGGTTCGTATCTTCATCGACAATTTTTGATAAAACCGTTTCATGAGAAAATAAAATATGAAACATACCCAGCTATTTTTAACACATCGTGCATACTGATTTTCTAGACTATTTTAAAACGTTTAAAATATGCAGAATATCAGCTAACGAATTGTTATTGCACAGTGAAGTTGTTAGTGTTATCAGTCCATAATAATTAGGAAACAAAAAACAAAATATTATGCATTTATGTATTATTTATTATAAGAGTTTTGAACGGGTTTAAATAAGATAAATGTGAGTTCAACGTGGGTTTAGATTAGATAATATATGCGAAGTCTTACGAGGGTTTAGATGAGAAGTATATTTAGGTTTCATGTTGAGTATAAAAGTGAGATGCATAAGTTTCTACATGTAATGTATATGGATATACGCGTCCCGTCACTAACTCGCTGCGATTCTTCATAACAAGTCTAGAGATATTTCTGGTTTGTAAAGCCCTCCGTCCATATTATGTATAGTACTAGAAAGTTGAATAATTTTCTCCTGTTTTATACGGGCGCAATAGCAATTTTACATCGCACTGAAGTACATGCACGTGCTTCGTTTTTGCTCAAAATTATTTCCTTTATATTTCGTATTATTTAATTTAACAGAACTGTTGTCGTTCAATCCTTTATTGCTTATATATGTTATTAAAAATAAAAATGTTTATACGACCTACCGTAATTGTATACAGCTAGACAATCGCAGTTGGTGATCAATTTTTATTCTGTGTATTACATAATGCAGGCATTTTTTGTTTGCAACAGAATAATATTTTATGAAAAACATTTAAATAAAGTTATTTTTAAGCGTCACTAAAAAACACGCAGTTGTTGAGGTTTAGAATTGTGTATTTTGATTCAATTGTGTGACGGCCGAATTACTCAATGATTTAAGACATGCGTTATTGAGATACATATATGGACCACACAGTCGTGGAACCAATGCGTGTATATTGAAAGTTGGCTGAGTCGTTTTAAATTTACAATGAAATGTTCGAAAAAATTACAATTTACCACCTTAGGTTTGTGCAAGCAATTCAACAAAGTAACCGGTTAGAAACAAAAAGCCACTTAAAGAAAATAGTTGAAAATTAATTCTATGACGAATCTTACTGCAAAATATTCCCAAAGTTGCAATCGATAAAATAATGAGGAAATTCAATATCGGGCACTAATTGTAGAAAATATTAACATTATTTTTGTAAGTCAGTGGCACATTGTGGTAACTGATAACTTAAACTAAACAATGTTGAATATAATATCATGTGACAAAAAATATATCCAATATAATATAATATAATACATGAAAACAAAAAAAACTAATGACTGGACCAATATATTATTTGCTCATTGCGTTATTTTTTCTCCATGATCATGGACCAATTCACTACACAATTAACAAGTGTTATGTAATCGTTAATTTATATATTACAATGTTTTTTTTCTTATAATCCCTAGTAATAGCAGATTACTTTTGCTGTCAGTTGACTTTTACAGTTATAGTCAGATTTGGCGAAGCTTGTAATTAAGTTTCTTGAGAATTTAAATTATTTTTACATTTTCAATTAGACCATGTCGATAAGATTTCTGCCCTACACAAGAAAATTGTAACCCCAATCCACTAAAGACTATTAGAATGTTTAATTAAACGAGAATCGTATATTTTGTTAAAAAATTACCCTCCGACGTTAAATATCTGCGTGGAATTCCGACAGTCGCCGTGGTCGTTTTTTTTTTTTGCTATTGATATTGGAAATAACATTTTGAACAAAAAATCATTGAGTATTTTTAGAATTTTATCAGGAACGACGACAGAAATATTGGTTTTACTGTAGTATGTGTTATTGTTTGGTTTTTTTCCGCTGAAAACGCTTTTGACACACGTAAACCGATTGAACATTTCTTGTACATACCTACTTAAGTATAAATGTACAAATATTTTCCCAACAGAGTTTCACGAAATAAAAAAATGTCCATTATTTTTCAACAAAGACTTGGGCAAAAAACAAACATTTTAAACAGTAAAAAAAATATGAGATTATTAAAATATTTAAAGACATTTGTAGATTTGAATTTTTACTTTGTATACGTATGTTTTATGAATACTGTGTATATGTGAATTTTAGTCGTGTAAAAGATATGAAGCACAAAGCCGAAAATTGTTGTCTTTTAAATTTTCATATTTTATACATATGGTAAAATTTACTGATGTGTACTTACCTACTATACATTATGACGCGAGGTAAAGCTAAGAATTAAGAAATAAGATATATTTAAGTATACTTAGATATAAAAAATTTAATATTAATCATTGCGTATGATTAAAAAAGTAAAATTTTACATTTACATATCAAATCATTCCCTCCACAATAAGGGTCTTAAAATTAAAAGAACCTTAGAGTTACACATATACCTACAATTTTTTTTAATTCCGCTTTGCGAAGATTCCCACGAAATCTACCAAGAAGACCAAAGTTCAGGTTTATACACTCACTTCAGGGGTAGTGGTAGGTGGCAGTAGTTAGCGATTATTGCAAAATGAAGCCGGACATAATTTGAACGCCACCGTGGAGGCACCGTCAAGACAAAATAATTCGATCACCACCACTGCAGTGTGGGGCGAAATAAAGAGGAATAGGTGTAGAACTAATGGCATGATTAAATAAAAAAATAGTACAAATAATAAAATTAACGGATAAACAAAACATAGAATAAATAAATATACTTATATATTTTAATATCATGTCTAACGTGTTATATACGGCTGATTGCTGCGTTATTCTTTCAATAATAGTATAATCATTCATATGTCTAAGTACCTATATCAAATATAATACGGTTATTGCAAAACAATTGTTATGCATTGTATATTTCAAATAAACGTTAAGAAAATGTATATTATTTTATATCGCCACTGTGATAAATTTGCAGTCGACATATTGAAAAAAAAAATTGGGTTACTGAGTGGTCGAGTTGACTAATACATCGGTTGCAACTTGCACCGTCGCTGGTTCGAACCTCGATCACGGGCGGCACTTTTCTCCGGACAGACACCTGTGTGGAGAGAGAGGTTGCAATCCCCCAACATGGCAGAAACCTACGGGTGCCCAATCAAAATTCTGCCAAACAAAAACACATGCACACTTGTTAAAACCTACTGTTCCACCGCCCTACAAACAGCTAAACAAACTGACCATAGTAGCCGGGCTCATATGATCAATTAAAAAAAAAATTTATTTATTTATCTTACACAATCTCGTTCATACAGCAAACAATCGGAGCATTATACTTTGCTATGATATTTAATGTTAAATATAATCTGTTTGAACGACACGCCATCGCTGGATCACGTCGGATACAGTATATGATAATTAATTCGATTGCATTTCACGATAAATTACAATGACAAGTGGTCATATTGTCACGCGATCAAACATCCTTTTCGGTCACCGCGGAAAAACGCGACCCCTCCCCCGACTCTTGTCGTTTTGCCGTCCTATTACCGTTGACAGCGATGTGCAATGAACCGGAGAGATCAATTTCGACAATTCCGAACAGTGACAGTACAAAACGCGATGTTGTTATAAAAATATATATAAATCATACTTTTCGGAAACACTTTTTTCCCCCTCTGATTTACACATGACAACGTCGTATCAGTGTGTAGTGAACTACACTCGAACGGCGATTAATTGCGTGTTTGTGCGATGCGATTGAAACGTTAAATGGTTATATAATTAATAATAATCACATGACCAGTATTATGGGTTTTACCTTAAAAAATATTTAAACATCAGCCTAACATTTTTTTTTTTTAGTCTTTATCCAATTACTTTAAATATTGATCATTTTCAACGCTGGTTTTCTGGAACATTTTCGGGGCCAGAGCTTTCATTCGTTGTAGTTTGTAAAGTTTAACAAAACAAACAAGACAAATATTTTTGCTGTATTAACGTCTTACACAATTATGTGAAATTTTATTCGTGTGATAGTAAATAATAATATTGTATATTATTTCATCCAACCATGACGTAACAAATAACGAATATAATTTATGGATTTTCATACTTTTATAAGTAGGTACATGCTATGGTGTGAATGAATTTTATTAAAGTTCACTAACCGTCACAGTACCAACAAAAATGACCAAATGAAAACTTATGAAAACAATGTCTACATCAGAGTAGAGAAAAACATTTTGTAAAAAGTTGTATTTTCGGACTAAGACTATGATGTCAAATAAATACCACAAATATTACTTTCATTTTTAAAATAAAATTACCATCATGAAAAAAAACAGTTCTGGTGTAATACGTACCTACCAGATATTCGTGTTTGTGCAGTATAGTTTTTAATGTTTTAATTCATGCAAACAAATCCTATTCAGTTGTATAATGTTAAAAACGATCGTGGTCGCATGGCTCCCGATTTAAAGAAGGAAACGGTCGGGAATTATAGTACCAGTCAAAGTTAGATCAATATGAAATACCGAGATAGAAATTTAAACATCGTCCATCAGTTGGATCAGCTTATTTGCACGTATTTTGAGGTCACCGATAACTATAGAACACAATATTATTATAATAATTACAATAATATTGTTATAAATGTAAGACGGCGTGTCGAATAGGCAATTTAAGGACATATTTTTAGCCAATAAAATATAATAATAATATAGTATTCTTCTCTCATTCTCTAATAAAAATAACAATATGATCTGTTGCCGTATATTTCTATAAGTATATTTCAAAGAACAATCTACTTTGTATTTTTTTTTTTTTTTTAAGGAAATCTAGGTTGAATATACTATTCCATTTGTCTA